ATATATATATATATATATATATATATATTTTGGTGTATGGGTATATGCAATCAAGACAAACACAAACAAGATGCACAATTAAGTGTAATGTTTAGAAATTTTTATAGAAATGCAAAAAAAAGTACATTTTATATATATATATATATATATATATATATATATATATATACACACACACACACATATATATTTGCATTCTGGAAATCAGATTTAATTTGAAATCTATGAAGTGTTATATCAAAAACTGGCATGCATTTATAGCATAAAACTAGCTAAATCATAAGAACATGATAATATAATTTCCTTAACAGCACCAACTGCAATGCACCCACACCTGTAGCCACCTGCTGTAAATGCTTCTTCCTGTTTTATAATGCAGTTTGGTGTAGAAAATATATGCACTTGATCATACTGTAAAGCTCAACAGAAGCAACTGATACTGTATTCTGCAAGCTATGTTCCTTATTGCAGTAAACACAATACAGTATATCACTTTAAAACATTTCACGTTGAGAAGAGATATGTAGAATTATGCAGTGCAAGTAAAACTGCCATTTGAATACCCATAAAATTATTTTAACAGCTCTTTTGTCTATGAGCTGATGATAAATGCTATGAATTATTCAGAGACATTAAAGTAAACTGCTATCCTGGTAGGGGCCATTATTGCAGGGGAGATACAGGGAAAGAGGGGGCAAATGAGGGATTGAAGACCGTCTTTTGATGGATGGGTTGGGAGATGGAGAGAAGGGGTGGGATGAAAGGGTTGCCATGGTAACAAATGGAAGCTGGTGTAGCAGGAGTGTGAGAGAAAGGGAGGTGGGAGATGCTGGACCTAAAGAAAAAGTGATAATGTGAATTACAGTGACACACTGTCAACACATATCATGATGGCTGAACATTTAATTTCACCTGTTTTTACCTCTCGCACACTCAAAAATTTAATTTGCTCTAGTCTTGCCGTACTGTTCAGAATGGGAGAGGCCAGTCTTCAGATCTTGCTGCATGATGCACCATGTGCTAACAGACTGAGATAGAACAACACCTGTCCGACGTCACGTGACAACAGGAACAGAGAGCAACCTCTGAAGTATCCGCAGAAAAGGCATGTATTTAAGGAAACACACAGCTATATTCACTAAATTATTTATGCAAATCAAGTAATAATGCAAACATGCTCACACCATTAGTGCTGATTCTGCTGAACACAATTTGCACAAAGAAATTCCCTGTATATGCTGCAGACTATTGCAATCTGCTGTACTTTTACAACATCGTTCCACCCACTGCAGACCAGGTACCTGAAATGGCTCTTAAAAATGTAAAACTGTCACTTTTATCAGCCAATAATAATGCGTAATAAAGTTATCTGCATCAGGTATACAAAGTATACATTTATATTTTAAAAGGAAATTTATTCCTGTAATGGAACAGCTGAATTTATTTATACACACACACACACACACACTACTAGCCACCCTTGGAGGGGGCAAACACACCCTTACACTACCTGCTCCACACACACATTCCAGCAATGCAGACAATCTGCCCAGCAAATAACCAAACAATACTACAATACATTCTGTTTCTAATTCGATATTAGGAACAGGAATACATAAAATACTACTGTGGGTGATCACTGCAATATCCAAACACACTAAACACATGTAAGGTGTCCTTTACCCAAAAACACAGTCTCACATCCTCATTCAAAACCCTCAATGCTGCAGTACAGAAAGCAAACATTACCTGCCAGACAGGTGTTTGTTATCAGGTATATCTCACTTTCTTCTTCCAAAATGCCAGCCTTCTTGTGTGTCAGTGTATGTTCCTCTCCACGCTGCGGATGCCTGTGTGTGTACGTCCGCAGCTGGGGCTGGGTGATCACAGACTGCAGCCCTTCTCCTGTTCCGCACTCATTGATATCCTGCTTCAACAACACCTGGAAGCTGGATTCCACTGTCGTCTGGATCTGGAGCCCCCTCCACGCTGGACACTGACTGTGCCCAGAGCCGTGTAATAATCACAGAATAGCCAATGACATCATCCATCTGGCTTTGATGGAGACCAGGCGAACTTCAAGATGTCATTCAGAGAAGCTAAGCAAGTCTGTTCAGTATAATGGAATATAATTTTGTTTTCATTATCACGAGATGACATTATGCTTTGCAGTCAAAACGACTATTCTGCTATAGTCTTTTGTGTGGGAAACATAGTGGAAGTAAAAACTTGCTCTGTCAATCTGCCTGTCAGATGTACTTTGACAGTTTTTTTTTTTGTGGAAAATTATAAAAATTCTTTAAATAATATATTCAACATTATATTAATATTTAAATAATGTATTTTTTTAAATGCAATACATATTTAATTAATAAATAATTTGAATATTAAACCTTTTGTTCCAGCGGGCTGATTTTCATTTGAAGAATCTCTAAATGCATTTCCTTTTTTTTTTTAACTGAGGAACAAGTCTAAACTATTGTCTGTGGTAATTGACAGTATGCGACAGATACGCTCCATAGACACAAAGTAGAAAAATACACTGAATATTGCTCTAAATAGGCTCTGTCTCCTTTGTCTCTCAAACATACTTTTAAATCGCATAAACACATTTCATTACACCAAATACACAAAATAATGTTCTTTTTAGCAGCATCATATGACCACTTTAATATTTAACTTGTGTATTTTTAAGTGTAATATATATTTAATTAATATGTTAATATTAAACCTTTCGCTCCAGTGGGCAGTTTTAAAATGTTTGCATTTTTTTTAAACAGAGGAACATGCCTAAATTATTGTCTGTTTGTAGTCAACATATGCAACAGATATGCTATATGGACACAAAGTAGAAAAATACACTGAATATTGCTTTAAACATGTTCTGTTGCCTCTGTCTCTTAAAAATTATTTTATTATTAAACCTTTCATCAAAGTGGATGAGTCTCTAAAAAATGCATTTTCATTTTTATTTTTTTACTAAAAAAACAACATTGTCTGTTGTAATCGACAGTTTGCGACAGATGTGCTCCATAGACACAAAGTAGAAAAATTATTCTGTGATACATACACTAAACACATGAGTGAATAGTGTTTAGTCCTCAGGGAACATTATGAGACTATCACTCATCTGAATGAAATCTTTTGTGTGCCTTTCTAATGTAAATCGGCCCCTCGAGGGTGTAGCCAGCTATAAATCTGTTCATTATTCTCATCTTAAATCGTCAGGGTTTGAGGGGGCTTCACATAATTGAGTCAAAACAGACTCAAGGGAATGATTTGTTCATTGCAGTATTAGATTTATAATCTGGTTCACACTTTAAAAGCAGAAATGTGAAGCTTTTGTTTTTGTTAATGCAGCCACATGAATTAAGTTAAAAATGTAATTTGAGCTCCTTTTATGTAATTTTTGTAGTTCAAAAAGTAATTAAAAAGCCACTGTTACATCCAGTTACACCCCAACCAAAGCACATATGTGCAGGATAATGAATCATCTCCCTATGGGTGATGAGGCCATTCAGACTGATGCAAGGATGGCATAAATCCCTTCACACACCCCTGGACTGGTGAATAGGACATCAGTTGGAGTAATTTAATTAGGAATTAAATCTCCTGACTGAGCCCGTTTAATGCTATGAAGTATTTAGGGCAGAACACTGCAGAGGTAATTCTGCTTTTGGTGATTTTAATCAACTGAAGAGACAGCAAGAGATGAGAAGAGCAAAAAATTCACTGAAAATGAAGCAAAAGCTCTATTTGGATGGAATTAGGTCTCTAAACAAAGTCTGAGTCACACTTGTTTAATAAAGGACATTTGTGACTATGTACTGATAATTACTATGAAAGCTTGTTTCTGCCACGGGATAATAAAATAAAAAAAGGGACATGCAACTTTTGAATTACTCAACAATTTCGAAATTCTGAGTTTAAATCTCACAATTCGGACTTTTCTTCCTTACAATTCCCTGAATACGAATGCAGAACTGCGAGATGAACACGCAATTTTGAGAAGAAAAGTCTAAACTGTGAGATGTAAACTCACAAATTGCAAGAAAAAAGATAAAAAGTTGCAATTACCATTTTGACTTTTTATTTCATGGGGGAAAAAAACAGCTGAGAGATGTAAACTGAAAATTCTGAGAAAAAAGGCAGAATTGTGAGATGAAATTCACTTGGAATTGAAAAAAAAAAAAGATTCACATACAGGTGCATCTCAATAAATTAGAATGTCATGGAAAAGTTCATTTATTTCATTAATTCAACTCAAATTGTGAAACTTGTGTATTAAATAAATTCAATGCACACAGACTGAAGTTGTTTAAGTCTTTGGTTCTTTTAATTGTGATGATTTTGGCTCACATTTAACAAAAATCCACCAATTCACTATCTCAACAAATTAGAATACTTCATAAGACCAATAAAAAAAACATTTTTAGTGAATTGTTGGCCTTCTGGAAAGTATGTTAATTTACTGTACATGTACTCAATACTTGGTAGGGGCTCCTTTTGCTTTAGTTACTGCCTCAATTCGGCGTGGCATTGAGGTGATCAGTTTGTGACACCGCTGAGGTGGTATGGAAGCCCAAGTTTCTTTGACAGTGGCCTTCAGCTCATCTGCATTTGTTGGTCTCATGTTTCTCGTTTTCCTCTTGACAATACCCCATAGTGTGTGTGTGTAAAAAATGTATTAATGTGAAGATCATATAAAATGCTGTTGAATTTTCTTTTTAAATCGGAGGAAAAAATCTAAATCTATAATGGTGTATGAGAGATCAGCTTTAATTATTTTCATTATGATATTCTACAAATGCAAAAATAAATGGAGATGCACTGTAAAAAAACACCACAATGGCATTCTTAAAGCATAGGTTTCATGGAGGTTATGAATTATATAATAGAATCTGAGAAAAAAACAGATAAGTTGAATTTGGACATTAAAATCACAAAGTACGGCTGAAAAAGAAATGTACCCTCCTCAAGAAAAACTAGTCTCATCTGAAGAGGCCTAAAGAAATTCAGTATGCATTTGTTGTTGGGAATTGCAACAATAAAAATAGTCTGCACAAACAATGCTCTAAAACAATAAATAAACTGATAGAGATCAAATCTTCCAAAGCATTTGCATCCCTTTGAGGTGCCTGCAGATTTGCACAGAAAGCACTGAAAAACTGCCAGGAGAAAAACAACATAAAAATGACAGAATCTCATTCTGTTGCATTAAGGAGACAGCCAGGCATGAAAGCACATAACCTTCAGTGATGGTTGACAAAAGGATTTCAGAGATGTTTGGTTTCTTTGAGAAAGATAAGGAGGCATCTACCTCCCACATGCAATGCTCGCTTTGAAAACAACCTGCACAAACCTGCTGAATCACAGCAAACTCATTTAACACAAGGCGACTGCTTCAGACATCATTGAATTTCAGTGATAATCAGGGATTTGAACTGATAGGATTTCATTCATCTATGTACAACAGCTAATTATAGTTAATAGGTAATTTATCTCCTTTGTGGGGAGTAAGATGGGATGGGATGCTTGAGATGCAAAACGTGCTAACTTACCAAATTGAATGTATCATATTTGATTCATTTTCTCCCTGTAGAGTTTCCCTTTTCTCCTTCAATACTTTTTCCTTCATTATCCTGCAGTGGGAGCCTGTCAAAACTGTGGAATAGACTTCAAAGGCATCCTACATTCCCTCTAAAAATGTCTTCTTTCTTTTCCTCTGAATCATTCTTTGTTGAACCTAACTTTGGTGAGCCATATCTGTGTATATATAAAGAATAAAAAATCTAAAATTTCATATCAGTTTGGAGAACGTCCGCATCTAAAACACCTAAGGAACATTCAACTAGTAATCCTCCAGGGTAGTGGTTCTCCCGGTAAAAAATTGAATGTATATACAGTATATGTGTGTGTGTGTGTGTATAAAATATTAAATAAATTACAATAATTGAATGGCATTATTCAATTCAATAATTATTATAAATAATTTTAAGCCATCTTGGAATTGTACTGAGGCCCCCTGCTTGAGAAGCACTACTCTGGAGGATTTGAGTGTCATAAGGCAGCACTGGAGCAGCAGCACCCACAGAGAACAAAGAGGAGCCGCATCAGCCCTTCTGCCCACTCAGAAACATCAGATGAAAAGCCTCTCCACTCATCCAGGACAAAGCCGCCTGCGAGAACACACTGGCACAGAGGCTGAATTCTGATAGTGGGGTGGGGTTGGTGAACCGCACTGCTCTATCGATCATCACAGCCATGCGGCTTGGCTGGAGGTGGAGTCTGTGATGAAATGCTGAATACTAATGTCTGATGTGGCCATAAAATACATGGTCATTTAATTAGCTTTATCTCATAGTCAATTACTACAAATTCACATAGTTTAGTGTGTGTTGAGTGGGTGATGATGTGATGTCTGTCAGTAACAGTGTGTGATGCTCTGGTATTTCTGGGATACAAAGTGATGCTTGACTCTCTGGCAGACAGAATAAATGAAATTATGTATAGATAATGGACCAAGCATCTTTTAATGTAAATCGTTGGGATGTCTTTGGCCGTTTTTTTATCTGCTAAGGGCAAACTGTAAGTCTAACTGTTTAGAAAATTAATAGCACATCTTCTCAATAAGCAGCATGATTTAAAGGAATAGTTCACCCAAAAAATTACAATTTGCTGAAAATTTACTCACTATCCAACATGAAAATGAGTTTGTTTCACTTCACAGCTTTTCATTTCACAAGACATTAATTGATGGACTGGAGTCATGTGGATTACTTATGGATTATTGTGATGTTTTTATCAGCTGTTTGGACTCTCATTCTGACGGCACCCATTCACTGCAGAGGATCCACTGGTGATCAAGTGATGTAATGCAACATTTTTCCAAATCTTTTCAGTTGAAGAAACATTTCCTTTAAGGTATCATTCATAGCTCTGAGGTCAAACACTTGTTCTAAGATGTATAATGTTAGTTGGCTTAGTTCATTAGGCAC